CTGACGTCACCAGAGCGGGGGGGGAGGGGTGGAGAGGGGGGGGTGGAGGGGAGGGTAGAGGGAGGGGGAGAGGGGAGGGGTGGGGGGGTGGAGAGGGGGAGGGGTAAAGAGGGGGGGGGAGAGGGGGTAGAGAGGGGGTAGAGAGGGGGTAGAGAGGGGGTAGAGAGGGGGAGTGGTGGAGAGGGGGTAGAGAGGGGGAGGGTGGAGAGGGGTAAAGAGGGGGTGGAGAGGGGGAGGAGTAAAGAGGGGGTAGAGAGGGGGAGGGGTAGAGAGGGGTAGAGAGGGGGAGGGGTAGAGAGGGGGTAGAGAGGGGGTGGAGAGGGGGGGGTGGAGAGGGGGTGGAGAGGGGGTGGAGAGGGGGTGGAGAGGGGGTAGAGAGGGGGTGGAGAGGGGGTGGAGAGGGGGTGGAGAGGGGGTAGAGAGGGGGTAGAGAGGGGGTGTAGAGGGGGGTAGAGAGGGGGTAGAGAGGGGGTAGACAGGGGGTAGAGAGGGGGTAAAGAGAGGGGGTAGAGAGGGGGGTAGAGAGGGGGTGGAGAGGGGGTGGAGAGGGGATGGAGAGGGGGTGGAGAGGGGGTGGAGAGGGGGTGGAGAGGGGGTGGAGAGGGGGTGGAGAGGGGGTAGAGAGGGGGTGGAGAGGGGGTGGAGAGGGGGTGGAGAGGGGGTGGAGAGGGGGGTAGAGAGGGGGTAGAGAGGGGGTAGAGAGGGGGTAGAGAGGGGGGGTAGAGAGGGGTAGAGAGGGGGTAGAGAGGGGGTGGAGAGGGGGTAGAGAGGGGGTGGAGAGGGGGTGGAGAGGGGGTGGAGAGGGGTAGAGAGGGGGTAGAGAGGGGGTAAAGAGGGGGTAAAGAGGGGGTAAAGAGAGGGGGTGGAGAGGGGGTAGAGAGGGGGTGGAGAGGGGGTGGAGAGGGGGTGGAGAGGGGTTAGAGAGGGGGTAAAGAGAGGGGGTGGAGAGGGGGGTAGAGGGGGTAAAGAGAGGGGGTAGAGAGGGGGGGTAGAGAGGGGTAGAGAGGGGGTAGAGAGGGGTAAAGAGGGGGTAGAGAGAGGGAGTAGAGAGGGGGTAGAGAGGGGGTAGAGAGAGGGGGTGGAGAGGGGTAGAGAGGGGTAGAGAGGGGTAGAGAGGGGTAGAGAGAGGGGGTAGAGAGGGGGTAGAGAGGGGTAGAGAGGGGTAGAGAGGGGGTAAAGAGAGGGGATAGAGAGAGGGGGTAGAGAGAGGGGGGTAGAGAGGGGGGTGATGTTCACACGCTGACGCAGTGCAGTGTGTTGACCCCACCACACACCACAGCGACGATCCCCCGCGACCGGTCCCGGTGCCTCCCCTAGGTCGACTCGGCCTCAAAACGAGTAACCTGGTGTTGCGGTGTGCGGTAAGACATCAGCACTGGGGAGGCAAAGGCGGCCGGGCGTGGGTGGTGTTGATGATGCCCACCCACCCAGCCACCCCCTCGTGTGCCACAGTGCCGGTAGCCTCAGCAGGCGCTGACACTCGCTACTAACAGCACGTGGCCCCGACAGCCGGCGTAGGCTACACGGGAAGGCCATCCCACCACGACCCTCTCACGCACACACACACACACGACACTGCGGAAATACACGAGAGTTAACGCTCTGCGTCGAAAAATCAAGATAAAGTCGAGATAAATTCCAGATAAATCAAGACTAAATCAAGATAAAATCAAGATAAATCAAGACAAAATCACAGACACACACACACAGACACACACACACATACACAGACACACACACAGACACACACACACAGACACAAACACACACAGACACACACACACAAAGACACACACACACACAAAGACACACAGACACACACACACACAGACACAAAAAGATCCCCCGTATAGCATTAACAGACTGTAGGGGCAAGTGCTGTTAGCGAGCAGCACCTATGAAGGCCGGAACGGCACACGAGGGGGTGGGTGGCCAGCACCACGCCCGACCGCCTTTGTCTCCCTAATGGCGATATTTACACACCGCACCAGGTACTCATTTGAGGCTGAGTCGACCTAGGGGAGGCCCGGGACCGGTTCAGATAATCGTCACTGGTGTTGGTCGTGAGCTGGAATCGAACCCGGGTGGCCAGGTTCGTAGCGCAGCGCGCTAACCGCTACACCACCACGTACACACACACATACACACGTACACACACAGACACACACACACAGACACACACACACAGACACACACACACAGACACACACACAGACACACACACAGACACACACACACGTACACACGTACACACACAGACACACACACACAAACACACACAGACACAAACACACGCAGACACACACACACAGACACACACACAAACACACACAGACACACACACAGACACACACACACACAGACACAAACACAGACAGACACACACCATATCCAACTGTTTACGAACACCACGAGGCGTATTAATTTTGCTGACGGAAGGCGGCCGCTTACCGCTCTGGCAGAGTGAATCGGGGGCTCTATGGCGTTTTACTTTTCTTTAACACGCTTTCTATTAACTCACTCTGTCTGTTGTTGTTGTATCCTCAAATCGTGTAACTCAATTTTAACCCACGCCTTCTGGCGTCATCTGGTCGAGCACCAATTGGGTCGAGGCTCAAAAGAAAGCCGTCCCTTGGTGTGGACCAATCAGTTTCGAGGACAATGCCACATATATTATCATAGTATGTGTTTTGTGTTTGCGTTTTGACTGCAGGTATTGTGGTTAATGCAGTAAACATGAATCCTTGTAAAAAAAATGTTTCATCTTCTTTGGTTCTTTCGGTAAAGTCACGTAGAATGAGAACAAAATAATAAATTGATAAAAAAATAACACAATAATATTCTCACGACGTTTCGGCCACAACACAAGCGGCCTTCATCAGGTGAAGGGACGAGACTGTCTGGTAGGACAGCGCTGGACAGTCTCGTCCCTTCACCTGATGAAGGCCGCTTGTGTTGTGGCCGAAACGTCGTGGGAATATTGTTGTTATTTTATCAATTTATTATTTTATTCTCATTCTACGTGGTGACTTTACCGAAAGAACCAAAGAAGATGAATCCTTGCAGTCACGAAAGCTTTAAATCGAAAAAAGATTTCAGTTTTGTTGCCAGAAAAAAGGGGAAAACCCCTGTTATATAACCCACTCCCCAATGTGGTATCGACTGCAAACTTGATATACTTGTCATGCTAATGACAATACTACATTCTATCATAAAAAATAAAATTATATATACTTTTAAAACATTATTTTTTACACGTTGTGTTTCGGCTTGGGTCTAATTGTCCACGCTCAACTCACGTTGGCTGTAAATCACCACGGGCCCCCTTACGTTGTTGGCCAAGCTTCGGGTCCACTTCCTGGAGTCGTGGAGTTCTGTCATTACGAGTACGGTACATTTCACGAAAGCGCGGTTTTAAAAGAAGTTTTTAAAAAAAAAAATATTACTTATTTTAGCGGTGGTGGGGTGGGGGAGTTGAGCCGTTGTCAGTAAAACCTTTTAACTTTCATCACAAGTCCCGTCAGGTCCACTCTGTTAATCATTTCCAGCCTTCCACTTGCACAACAAAAGCAGAGATCGCCCGTGTCGGCTTAACAGGCGGCGTTGCAGGAGGAGGGAGGGGGGGAGGGAGGGGGGGAGGGAGGGAGGGGGGAGGAGGGAGGGGGTAGGAAGGAGGAGGGAGGGGGGGAGGAGGGAGGGAGGGAGGGGGGAGGAGGGAGGGAGGGAGGAGGAGGGAGCGGGGAGGGAGGGGGGAGGAGGGAGGGAGGAAGGAGGAGGAGGGAGGAGGAGGAGGGAGGGGGGGAGGGAGCGGGGAGGAGGAGGGAGGAGGAGGAGGAGGAGGGAGGGGGGAGGAAGGAGGAGGAGGGAGGGGGGAGGAGGGAGGGGGGAGGAGAAGGGAGGGGGGAGGAGAAGGGAGGGGGGAGGAGGGAGGGAGGGAGGGAGGGGGGAGGAGGGAGGGGGGAGGAGGAGGGAGGGGGGAGGAGGGAGGGAGGGGATAGGAGGGAGGGAGGGAGGAGGAGGGGGGAGGGAGGGAGGAGGAGGAGGAGGGAGGGAGGGAGGAGGAGGGGGGGAGGAGGAGGGAGGGGGGGGAGGAGGAGGAGGAGGGAGGGGGGAGGGGGAAGGAGGCCCCCACTGCGTGCCAACGTCCACAGTCCACTATTTGACGAATCACAAAGGCAAAGGTCCCCCCGCCCAGGTAGCCTTAACGAACTGTCGAGGCAAGTGCTGTTAGCAGCGAGAGCAGCGCCTAAGGCGCCTGTGACACACGAGGGGGGTGGGTGACCAGCACCACTCGCGACCGCCTTTGTCTCCCCCCCAGTGGCGAGGTTTACACCACGCACCGCACCAGGCACTCATTCGATGCTGAGTCGACCTAGGGGACGGGCCCAGGACCGGTTCGGATCATCGTCGCCGGTGTTGGCCGTGAGCGCGAATCGAACTCGGTGCCGTGGCCCGGTTCGTGGCGCTAACCGCGACCACACAACAACAACAACGTCACCACGACGCTTGTGCCAGGCTATGTGCACCGTGAGGCCACGTGAAGTGTCGAACGCCCGCTGGCAGGAGGTCACGGGGCAGACCCAGGTGCCACGGGTCGACTGACTGAGATGACTGGCTGATGCACCACCTGTGCCCCCTACTGTGCCAACTTGCTGTGCTTTAGCCACCCGGCGCCCCGCTCGTTGTTGTGAGCGTCGCTCCTCCGCCCTCCGTTGTTGTTGGAGGGCGACTACCTCCAACTGCCCAGTAGCAGCGTCCTTCACGAGCCTCCTCCACAGACGCCGACCTTGACACCACTGGTACCGGTCATCGGCAAGTCCACTCAGCTCCACGTCCTCCTGTACCACGTCACTCCATCTCTTCTCTAGCCCGTGCCGCGCCCGCTTAGCCCCCTCAATCCGGTCGAACAAAAGCTGTTTCGGCATACGGTGGCTGGGCATGCGGGCTACATGACCCAGCCATCGCAGCCTTGCTCGCCAGAGGAGCTCATCGATGGGACC